ACACACACACACACACACACACACACACACCCACACACACACACACACACACACACACACACACACACACACACACACACACACACACACACACACACACACACACACACACACACACACACGATTACAGAGCAGACACTTCACACTCAGAATCCGATGTTTCTTTTTTCAAGCACATGCAACTCTCCTGTGCTGCTTGTAGTGTTCATTTGAATTTGTGAGGGGTGTAAATGAATGTGTGACTCACATGTGCTGTAGCGTATGGCCACTGCTTCACTCTGAGCTCCATCTCCATAGAGTGCAGACAGAGAGATTTGGTATTCCTTATCGTCCTCCACCCCCTCCAGGATCGCCCCTTCACTCTCACCACTCACCCTCAGCTAAACAGACAGTGGGGAAAAGAGCAATATTTACATTCACATCATACAGTAATCATTATAACACAATATACAGTCCACCTTTTCTTAATCCACCCCCACCTGTCTCAGGTCTCCTCCACTGAGGGAGATCCACTTGATGAGGTAAGAGACGACATCATCAGCCCCAGCCTGCCAGCGCACAGTGATGTCACTGTCGGAGAAATTAGTCACCCTGAGGTCTGATGGGGAAGGCACCTTCACTAGGAGAGAAGGAAAATGTGTCAGGAGAGGGAAAAAAGAGACTTTAGACCGATTTATTTTTAATTCACATTTAATTCAATATGTCTTCTCTCTGCTGTGATGTTACACAAGTCTTTGACATATCATAGAAGAAATAGGTTGATGGTGTGCGTGTGTCTTACGTGTGGTGACGTTACTGGTGAGTGCTGCAGACAGGCCTTGTGGGTAGTTAGACTGGACTGAAACCAGATATCTGGACAGAGAGGAGAGGTTCTGCACCACCACTGAGTTCAGTCCTGTTACCTCCACCTGGAAAGAGTTTCATGGTTTGATTATACTCATTTTCAGGTTCATATTTGTATTTTGTTTGTTATGATACAAAGCAGTTTAACAGGGATGCATGAAAGAAATGTAATTAAATATATCGTTGTCACATTCTGCACTACATCTGGCTGATATAATAGATCACTGTTATATTTTCGATTTTCCAAAACCAGATAAGAGTCGCTCAAAATATATTTAGTATGTATCTCTGGTTTAGAAAAAAAAGATCTGAGTTCTGGGGATGGTTTTGGAGACAAAAGGCTTGAAATTGAACACCAGTGTTGGAAGTTACCTGCTTAATGTCACTGCCGTGGTTGGTGCTGTATGTGATTCTGTGGCTGGGGACGTCCCCTGCTCCAGGCACCCAGCTCACCTTCAGCATACTGTGGGTGACCATCGGGAACTCAACACTCATTGGCGGTGGTAGGGGGACTGCAGGGATGGACAGTAAAATAAAAAGGGAAGCATGGAGAAGATGAAGGGGTTCAAAGACAAATTTGTGAGTGCACTGAAGAGATGAAATAACGTGAACAATGATGGATGTTTGGTAATGTCTCACATGTGGCGGCAACAGCAGTGACAGGATCGCTGGGATCGTCCTCATACAGAGCGTAAAGAGTGACAGAGTAGTCTGTGGCCGGAAGTAGCCCCGTCAGCTCCACCGCCGTCTGCTCTGCACTGAATTTTTCCTGCAGAAATACACAAACACAATGCAAACGTCAAGTTAGTGCTTTGTTAATAGGTTTACCGGTTATGAGTAAATGCACGCTTTCTTCTATACGGTGATACGGTTGGCAGGTGTAGTTCTGTAAAAAGAAAATATTTGCAACATGAAACTGCTCAAAAGAAGAGTGCTAGATACATTTATCCCTATATTTCAACTATCTGCAACTTACACTAAAATCCTCTAGGTAATGGGGTAAGGGGAAAATATGCATATCTGAATTTTGGGTGAAAATGTCCTTTAAACATTGTACATAAAGTATTTAACTTATTCTTTAATTTGTTTAAATTCAGGTGTTTTCATCCTGACTTAGTGAAAGCCATTTGTGACTAAAGTCAAAAAGAGAAAAGAAACGATGACACAGCTATGTGCAGGTGCTTGATGTGAGTGATCAATAACACAGCCTACAAACAGTGTTGGAGCTACCTATATATTGATATATATATTATTTATAGTATTTATTTTCTTGCTGCTTTTGTTAATAGTTATTGTTCATGTATAATGACTTAGTTTCATTATTTTTGTTTATTCAAATAAGTCTTTATGCTTTTGTTTTGAAGGCAATGTTGGGCACCTGGTGATCATGTATATATTGGAGACAGGTGGTTTTCCCTTTCAGATCTTTCCCTGCGTAAGGTTCGCTATCTGGTGCCTTGCCAGCAGTTTTACTTTGACTTCATTTTCAGTTTTATTTCTTGGATTTTCGACGCACACATAAGTCTGCCTAGTTATTTAAACTTTGCAATGACTATAATATCTGTAACATTTGTGTAATTTCAGACTTTAATATGGGGCAAAGTAGAAGTTAACATACCAATTTAAAACTTTATTGGGCTTTCTTGCTCCTCTTTGATTGATCATTATGTTTTGTCTTTACTGTCTGCTGATAACCGACAATTACAAATCACATGTGTGTTCCATGTATAAAACAATATAAAGGCCTTTCATTGTCCTCCCTACACACACACTCAGCACAGAGAGAAAGAGAGATCCAGTGCTCACCTCCTTGGCGTCGTCAGGCTCTCCGTGGCTGAGTGCAGAGTACAGGATCATGTACTGTGTGGCCCCGGGCGCTGCACCCCAGCTCACCTGCAGGGTGCTGTAAGAGGAAGGAGTCACCTCCAGGTTGGCAGGCGTGGCCAGGGGCACTGAGTGAGGGGAGACAGAGAGAGGAAGAGAAAATAGAGGGTGACCAGTTGTCAGAAGGGGTTTGTAAACATGGTTTTACAAACGTGTAACCGATGATGGGCATTTAAAAAAGGCTCATTAGAAACCTTGTGTATTCATGTTTCCTGTATTTGACCACCTACTTAATACTAACAACACTGATTACACTGCTTTTGGGCCCAATACAATGAGATATTACACCTTTATTGTATAGTTCTCTGTGGTCCTTCATAAGACGTTTTGGCAGCAAGGACAAAAAGATTATACTGACGATTTTTAGCCAACACCAATATTTGAGTTCTGTGCATTCCTCTGAATAATGAGGTTTCGTACCGTCACTCAAAATCATTCTTTAAATGTTGTTATTCTCAATTAACCCATACTCCACTCTGGAAACTCCAGGTGTGCAATTCTGTGTCTTAAAAATACAATATGGTGACATTTTATTTGTATTGACCTTTCATAAAATGCCATAGTGTTACGCTCCCTATACGCTCCCTTGACAATAAAAGTATTTGATGTTTAGCCCTCTGTCGCAGGCTAAGTAATGTTGGAGGATATCATCTTTTTAATGCTCGTCAGAGAGCACGCTTTTTTACTAGAACAAATTTATCAATATCCCCTTTGTAGTGTTACGGTGGCAGGTAGCAGAATTAGGAAAGTGACGTTGAAAAAAAATGTGATTGACATAGATTATTTGCATTTAAAGTGAAAGACATTAAAGTGTAACTTTTAAAGAAGGATTTGGGTGTCAAGCCCTGCTTCCATCAATATACTATGCAAAACAATATATTGATGGGCTATTCACAAACAGGTCAAACTCGAACTACAGCCAACATTGTATAATATTATAGGGGTTATCGAAATAGAATGTGATGCTGTTTATTCAGATAGAAATGCAGCATATAATCCAAATAGAAAAACATAACTTACTGTAGAAACATTCAAGTTTCATATCAGTATTAACTGGGATAATGCAAAAACAACTGCCACACTTACAAACAAACAGATGGATCCCTTAAAATAGAATGTTTAGCAGTATTGTCAGTCTTACATGTGGTGACGGTTCCTCTGAGGGCCAGGCCAACATTGTTTTCATACACAGGGAAGATAGACACATGGTACAGTGTCTGAGAGGAGAGGCCTTCCAGCAGCACTGTGGACTCTGAGCCGCCCAATACCACCTGTGGACAAACATCCCCTACAGTCAGACACAAAAAATGCACAAAACACTGGACAATTTAATATTCTGTACAAATATTTTACTTTATATGAAAACACTATCTTCTCATCCCGTTTTACCATCACAATTATTCAACGAAATCGCCACATTTCCAACGGAATTAGATTATGATGTCAACTATGTGGCTACTGGAATTGGCGGTTATACGTTGTTGTTTATATAACTGTTATGTCTCGTAACGTAATGTGGCAATATAAAGTATGGTTGTATTTTGACCATAGACTTTAATTGGTATGTGGACTACAAGTTAAAAGCCTCAAATGAGTTACACAAGTAGATGGCACAAAGTGCAACCACCACGGCAGCTTGTCAATCAGCCTTTGTACATCTTTGTATATTTTATATTAACTATAATTGACAAACTAAACATTGTGTCTTGAGATTGAGACACAAAACTTGAAAATGTTTTCTGAAAAAATAAATCAAGTAAGAAATAGGGTAATTTTCTCATACAATTGGACTTTTGACACCATTGGAGTTGCCTGCTGGCCATTAGAGGGAATGAGAGTTAAACATTGGCTTCTCTTTTCAGCGCAAGAGGTTGCCGCTTGGTTCTGACCTCCTGTGGACTCTGGCCCTCAGCGCTGTGGTAGACCACTCTGAACTGTTGGACAGCTTCAGCAGGATTGGTCCAGTGAAGCTGCACTTCTCTGGAGCCCAGCTGAGAGAAGCGGAGATCAGAAGGACTTGGGTAGGAGAGGGCTGGGTCTACTGTGGGCCCAGGCTCCATTCCTGAAATTACAGCAGCAAGGAAATGACCATGTTGAATACAGTAAGGTTTGAGTAGGACGAAAGGCTGATTAGCCAGATAGATGTGTTACGTTTTGAGATGCCGCGGTCCTCTATCCTCCTACACAGGATGTGGACCAGTCGTGACACTAGTTTGCTGAGCAGTGGGAAGTCATTGACATTGTAGACGTTTAGATCCACGGGCTCCGACGCTACTTGTCTCAACTCGGCCTCATCCGCATTTTTTACACCTGAATTACACAAATACAAAAGCATTATAGAGATTAGCAGCAGCAGCAGCCCTCTACTTGCTTCAAGCTTAAATATGAAAAGGTTCAACTACGCACACACACATCATCTCTGCTCGCGCAGCACGCTCACAGGCATAGATTGCACAATAATTTATTGCGCACCTTGGAGGTGCATTGCAGACATATTGTCATCCTGAGATTAACTAAATGATGCAGATCTCCCTTGTAAATGAGATCGATGATCTCAAGGGACCAATCTGTCTAAATAAAGGTTTGAACATTCAAGAGAGAATACGATGCGTAGTTCTCTAGAAAAATGTTTTTTGTTTAGCCTATTTACCTCGTTAATGGAAATAATACTCATTACATTGACACATGCATTATTTGTGATTAAAATAATGGTTGTTGGTAATGTATTAGCGACCCCCACAGATGTATGATTTGACTGCTTTCATAGGAGCTCAGACCCCTCCTTATGGGAGCTCAGCTCCCATTGGCTCCCACATAACATCAAATCTAAAGTAGATGCATTTAAAAGTATTTAGTCTCACCTACAGCGATGATCTCCACGCCGGCATTCTTCAGGCGCTCTGCCGCAGCAATGGCATCATCCTGAGATTTACCATCGGTCAACAAGACCAAGAAAAAAGGTGTCGCTGACCTTGCGCCTGCCTCTGGCCTCATGTTCTCCTCCATGACATGGAGCAGCGCCTGGCCTGGGAGATGGATGCAGGGTTACCTACTTACAGACATACGATAGTCTACTGTGTATTGTATGGACTCAAACACAGACAGCAACGAAGGAGTATAGGGTGATTACCTGTAAATGTGTTTCCACCCTTATATCTGAAATTCCTCACTGCCTCCAAAAGCTGCTCTTTGGTAGTGAAGTTGTTGAGATGCCACTCTGTGCGGGGGTCTCCGCTGTACTGTGTCAGACCTGGGGGGAAATACAAATATTTAACAAGATTTTATTACTTTTTGTGGCCATTAGTAAAGGTAAATAAATAATACTTTAAGTGACTGATTTTAAAATCCTTGGTTTTTTTCTTCCATTTTTTGTTTTCAGCGGGAAAAACCTAGCAGACAGTATCTGTAAAAGTTTTGGCATATTATATTATTTATTCTTTTAGTTAATTTTCTTTTTCTTTATGTATCTTTCAATTCCAATTCCTAATAAAAAATTATGAATTATTTCATAGCAGAAATAAAATAAATTGTCAATAAATTCAGTAATACAAATGTCATAATAAATGCTATTGCAATGCACTTGTCTTGAGAGAAAAAACACAGCATGCAAGACTTGATCTGACAGAAAAGTATAAATCGTATCATATGATTCATATCAAATCGTACCGCTACAGTTAAACAGTCTGCTCCTCTGCAACATGCAGTCTCATTGATGACAAAGACTTAGGATCTCCTCCATGTGGCACTGTGTCTTTATGAATACCACCCACAAAGAGGAAGGCATTAGGCTTCACTGCCACTCTCTGACCCTCACCGATCTGAATGTGGTCCGGCCCGATGTTGAAGGGTGTCATCAGGCCCTCCAAGAAGTCTCGAACCCGTCTGAAGTTGGTACGCCCGATACTCCAGGAGCCGTCCACCAACAACACGATGTCCGCAGCTGCATCGGTCTCACACTCAAATGGTTTCCTTGGAGACATCCCTTGATTAAAGGAAGCTTGATGCAATTAGTTGTGAACTGATTAGTGTTCCAGATGCCAAAGAAAAGGCTGGACGCTTTTAGTTGATAAACATTTCCTTTTATTTGTCACACATCTGTATATGAATAAGTACCACTTTACAATGAGACTACCCTTATAAAGGATTCATAAAGGGTTCATAATTAGGTTATTAATTAGGTTCTAAACACTTTATTAATCATTAAAAACCATGTATAAACCAGTTCTAACATAGCTTTCACACATCAACACGGGCTCACTATTTGGCAAGATGACTATTATATTGGCCCTAGCTTACTTCGTCTTCTTCATCAGCCAACATCCTTGGTATCTGTTGTTCACTGAGTTGATTCTCCCCCCATCCATCTTGATGTTTCTTGGCATTTCTTTATGACCATTTATTTACGAGTTATTAACACTTAACTGCCAAAAGGGAGCCTTATTGTAAAGTGTAAAACATATTCCCATTTTTTTGTATGGGTTACTACCATTTCTAATTGGTAAAAGGGAGCCTTATTGTAACGTGTTAAACAAATCACCATTTATTAAGGAGTACTACCATTTATAATTTCTTTAAGTTATATTAAGCCTTTAAGTTATACATAAATTAGGGCGTGGTCACATTGAGTGACAGGTCTGTCCGGTGACTGCTGTTGTTAGCTTTCTGCCTCTCTGCTAGCTGCTCCGTGATGCTACAGGGACCAGTGTTGCCAACTTGGCGACTTTGTCGTTAAATTCGGCGGCTTTCCAAACCCTCCGGCTACTTTTTTTTGTCAAAAGCGACTAACGACTAATCTAACGACTTGTAAAGGTGTTATTAGGGACTTTTCTGGTGTTTGGAGACTCACGTATTGTTCAGCAGTTAACGAACCGCGGGTGCTGCCGTGAGCCCCTCTGCTCCTGCTCTGCCCTCCCATAGTACTCACAGGCGCTAGTTGCCTCCCGCAGCAGCTCAGCTGCAGTCAGAGCAGAGAGGAGACAGCCACACCCTCCCGCGTCGAGACTGTAAATGAATTGCGCTTGCGCCAAGCCGTCCTGGTTTTGAGCGGGGATTTAAATGTAAATGTTTCTTCACTGTCACACTATAATAAATAACTGCCTTGGCTTTGCATTGACTCACACAGCCTCAGTCACTTAATCACCTCGTCCACTGTGTGTGTGCCTCTCTGTGACAAGCTAAACATTCACGTAGGTCATCATGTCACAGTCTAACTGTAATCACAAAAGTACATAAAGGAGTGGGAATCAAACCCTGAGTTTAAAGGATGGTTGAAGCCATTTATTGGAGATGACACACGGGCATACTGCCTTTATTGTAAGGGAGATTTCTACTAAAAACTATTAAAACTACTTTCTACTTTTTCTAATAGAGGCATTTCTGATCTACTGTCGTCTGGATTTACTCTGGTTTCAAGTTTTGATCCTCTTTGAAGGGGGTGGAACGTTTTTTTACCGCCATTACATGATATGCAAATTAGGCAATGACGTAATTTAGGGACTTCTGGCGACTTTTCGGACAGCCAATAGCTACTTTCCTTACTATGGAGTTGGCAACACTGCTCGTTGAGCTGCGAGTGTGGCTACAGACGGAATTCACTCCGTCACGGAGGGGTAGGGTCTAGGGAGTGGTTTGGGATTGGGCGAAGGGATTAGACGCCGCGTCAGAGACAGGGAGAAGGAAAAAACATGGATAAAAATCAAAGAAAACGAAAAGGTGGGGCCGAGAAGGCAAGAGAAAAAAAGGTGAAGTCACTCGCAGGTGAAGCATATAAATGGCGCAAATTGACAGACCTTTTTGGCAGCAGCGCTGCTACAAGCACTATCAGCAGCAGCTTAGAACAAGTGCAAGATGATGAAGAGAATGATGAGGGCGCGAGTTCAGATATACAGGCAGCCTCCTGCGTCCATGATGAGGGACAGATTTGAGCTGGTGGAAGAACCAGCTCAACTGGCACATACAACTGCAGGGCAAGAGCAAGAGGTGGGTGAGAATTATCCCTTGAACTCAGTGGCTTTTTCTCCTGGAGGCCAAGGGAAGCCAGGCTTCCCCTGTTTTTTTGGATTGTAGTTATAATTTTAATAAATAAATAAAAACACTTTGTTTAGTTTCGGTAATTATTCTGCCGGCCCGTCTCTCCCCCATTCTCATTGAGTATTTTACAAAGAGTGAAACAGCGCCCCTCTAGATGTTATGGTGAAACAGTAGATTGCACTCTCTGTTGCGAGAGGAGGCTAGCCGAAATTGGCTTCCCTTGGTGAAAAAAAATTGAGGGATTGACCAATCAGATGAGGCTCACGTCATGCCTCACAAT